ATAAAATATGAGTGTATATTTATTTCTATATTACTATGTAACAAAAAACACAAATATGACATTACAAATCCAGTGTATAGTGTATTTATGTTCAAAAGCACACAGTGTGCACACAGTTTGCAAAATGAATGCTCGCTAATGGTTATAAAACAGCATTGATAATAATATTTACTAAAAACTTACACATCCCAGAAACATAAATATAAGAAAAATATAGCCTCTTCTCAAGAAATAAATCTCCAATCACAAATAAAACATAAAATTGTATCTTGTCACATTTCAATAATTTTCAAATGCTGAGTCTAAAAAAACAGGATAGCATGTTAATTGCGAAAGCAGACAACACAGACAATAATCAGATATCAACAAAGAAGCTTACATTTCATGGTGATTTCCTGCTATGGTAATTTTTGCTGAATACCATTCCTTCAAATGTTTTAATGCTCCTATAGTAGGTAAACAGTCTTTCCATTTAGGAGGATCTTTGTCAGAGGGCAACAGTATTATATCTATCATTGCTCTACCTAAAAAGAGAAAAAATGCATTTTTATAATTTTAAATAATGGTGGATCAGAAATGTCTCAAAATAGTGCCCTGAACAATTGAATTTTATGTTTACTTAGAAGATAAAGGAGAATTTTAACTTGAATTTCTGAAATACTTCAAAACAACATATATCTATAGAAATTCAAAATTTTAAAGTATTCATTTGATTTAAAGCCATATTATCTTGAAATAGCTAGCATATGCTAGAAAACAATGAACTACATCATAATTACTTGCCAATTCTGCAGCAGTGGTTAATTATACACATTGCTCTCAAGATCATCAATGCTATTGTACTCAACAGAGGAAAAAAAAAACCTGTGCAATTTCACTATATTTTCCTACAATTTAATTTTGTTAACCAAAAGGATAACAAAATCATAATGTTCAAACAAATGATTTCTCTTTTTAAAGGACAATAAAATACTTAGAAAACCCAATTATATGGACATTGGATCCTAAGAAAGAATAACTTCACAAAAATTTAAATTTTGTATATTTATAAATTTACTGAAGCACCAGAAAAATCAAAATGAAACAGAAACCAAATATAAATTTGATAATGAAAGTACTCTACTTAACCAAAACAGCAACTATATAAAATTTCAATGCATACTTTGAACTTGACACATTTCATTTAAAAAATTGTGTATTTACCAAAGTATTCGCTTATTTTCCATGTGGGACTTTTGTACTAAAATATGATCTCCTTGAATATAGGGATTAGACTGCAAGCTATAATGTCCTTTATGGTAATTACATATGCTGTACTCTCATTGTATACTCAGCTCCTAGTACTATGCATGACATGTAACAGACATAACAAATAACTACTTAATAATGACCTTAAATAATGAAAATATTCAGAAAAGAACGCTCTTCAAAGTTATTTGTAGATCCCAATTATATCAAATTTTAGACAACGGCTATTTGATTAAACCAAAAGTTAAGGAGTTAAAGAGTTAAAAACTTCTTAAAAGTTTTAAGAATACTATGATATATATAGTATTTCACAGAATAAGCTTTCCATTAGAGGAAAAAATTAGGTTTTGTAGAACAATGCTGAATCAAGGGCTTCTTTTACTGTAAGACATATTCCATTTGATAATATGTGTACTAACTTCATCATAAAAGAATGTTATCCAAATTATGTAGGTTAAAGAATCCATTTTTCCAGGAGTTATTTATAAGACTAGTGTTCTACAGAACATACTCTGGAAAATAATGGTATACAGTGGAAAGATTTTTCTTCAGTGATAACTAAGTAAGGAAACAGATATGGGTATTTAATTTTCTAAGATCTAATTTTTGTCTAACTAAATGAAAACAATGGACAGAACTGTAATGTCTCATTATTAAAATAATGGAGTACATTCTGTATCAACTTCAATTAAGAAATTATTTTTCATTTTGAATTTCAAGATTAGCATAGAATGCATTTATCACTCATTCATAAAAAGTATAATGTAAGATACAAACTAACGAAAGCAGTCACAAAATATTACCAGGAGCAGGAAGCTTGTCTGATAACTGATGCAAATTTTCTGCAGACTCTTCATAAAGACTAAAATAAGAGGGCAAGTGAGAAAAAAAACACAAATACACATTACATACAATCATAATAGATAATATTGACTAAAAGTATCCCTGTGCCAGACACTGTTAAGTATGTTAGATGTACTATCTCATTTGATCCTAATGACAATCCCACGAGGTACTACTATAATACTATTATTATCTCCACTTTACTTGTCTAAAGTTACGTAACTAGATGTATGAAAGCCATGATTCAAACTGAGTATAAGTTCTTACCCATACCCAACAAACAATAAAAGGGAATAAAACTCCATAAATTATATCTTGTATACTAAATATAAATCTTAATAGGCCAAACATATTTCTGAATCTTAGAAGTAAGGAAATGCTAAGTATTTAATAAAGAAGAATATGAGTTTTCTCTGAATAGCATATAACAGTTCTGACTAAGGAATATGGTGCCCTCTTCAGATTCTTCAAAACTTGTTTTATCCATATGATGAAATTTTTTTCAGAATAGTTTATTATAAAGCATAAAGGTACTTAAATCCTTTATTATAAACCCACAATTGCCTGAGAAACTTAAGGCATTTCTCATAGCATGTATGAAATATAAAAGGAAAAAAAAAAGAAACTAAAGGAATCTTATGTTAAACTCTAGTTTTCAGGCTCCCTCTTGTGGAAATAATTATTAGGTCACTTATCAGAAAAACTTTTATACTTGTCATCTTTTAATAGCGGTGGAAAAACATATGGAATGATAAAAGCTTTTAAGGGTATATGAAAGCACCTAAGAAATCATCTAAAAGGACCTCAATACTTTATGGATGAGAAAACAAAGAACGAGAAAAGTTAAGCAAATAGCTAAAGTCCACTTCTACTGATCCCTGGTTCAATGACTTTTCCCTGATTCTAAAAAGGCCTCCCTTCATTAACTGGTACAAATAAATACGATCTGGAAAAAAGAAAATGAAATGTGTTAAGTCTGCAGATGTTTACAGATATATTACAATACGTGAATACCAAAATAATAACAAAAGCAGTTTTCTGTCTTGAAATATTATGGAAGAAAAAAATGAAATGTATTAACTATGAGTCAGAAATGGGATATATCATGAAGAAAAATATTATTATCACAACTTATGTCACTTGGATCTATTTATATACTGTACCAGAATTCAAAAAACCTAAAAGTGAACTCAATCATGTAAATAATCCTCAAAAAACTCTTTATGGACTTTAAAAGTTATCTGAAAAGATGAAGATACACATAAATTGAAGAAATCACACATTTCAGCCTCAAAAATAAAAAATGAAAATAGAAAAATAAAAATGATACTTTGGTTTGAATGCTAGATATTAACATTAAATAACATTTCTTGCCAAGCTCTTAAAATACAGTATATCAGGCAGAATTTATCTTCAAGAAAGTAACATGTTAATTAAAATATCACTTTTTATAATTCTTGAAATTATGCAAGCTTAAGAAATAAAACATTTTCAGATATCAATTTTTGCATTTTAAAGAATTTTATTCAGATAAAAGGCCTGAATTGCCTAATGTCTTCCAAAATTAATTGAAAATTTCAATTAATTAGAATTTCCTTAGTATAATTGCTAAAATATGTAATCTTCACCCTCATAGCTTAAATAACTGTCTAATGTTAAATATTGTAAAGAAAATATAAAAAGCATATAAGCATACTCAGCCAAGGATAACGACTCCCTGCTATTATTATCTTCTTCTTCAAAACACTCAGCAGCACTCAAACATTCTTCGGTATTTGTTTGAAAAACATCTTCAATTTTATCGTTTTCCATATCAAAATGTATCTCTTGCCAATCAGAACTACAAAACTAATCAATCAAAAGATTGCATTAAATAATGGATTCATGCAATTCCTCATATTAGCAAAGACATTCACCAAAAACTATTTTTAAATTTATATTACCTGATAAAATCCACATACTGCTTGCACTGCAAAGAACCACTTCTTGGAACCAGGTATACCACCCACCGAACAGGCTTGAAAACAAAATTACACTTATTGGAAGAAATGCATACCATAAATAAGCAGATGTCACAGCATATATACTGAACTTAAAGAATTATATAATTTTGAAATATATAGTTATCCAAGTTATATACATATGGATCATTTTAAAATCTCTGCTAAAAATTCAAACAGAACAATCTGCCTAAAGAGCAGAATTACTCAATGAATACTATGCTTTACTTCATCACAATTCAAAATACACATTATTTTAATCATTTCAAACAGATTAAAATCCACGATAAAGATGTTGAAAATACACCCACACAATTACTACTGAGTAACACAAAACCATGTAAGTCATTTTAGTGAAAACAATTCCCTTTCCAAAGACCATGTAGGTTGGTTCAGTCTGGCTAGACAGGGAGTTGAAGAGTCTGTTTTGGCATCTCCATTTTCTGAACCTTTAAGGAATATTCTCAGATAAAGGAGGAAGTAAAAGAGAAGATAACTGTCAAGGTAAGTAGAACATTTGTATAATGTCAGTTGAAGCTAAGGAAGGAAAGGTTTTTACAAAGTAAGGAGTGGTCAAAAAAGTGGAATACTTCAAAAAGTCAAAGCAGGTAAGAATAAAGAAAAGACTATTGTGTTTAGCAATTATGAATTACTTTGAAGAGAATCAGTTAAGAGCTAAGAACATAAAAAAATAAATGGCAAGGAAGTCAGTGTGGGAGCATTATTAACGCATTTTTACTCAGGACAAAAATCCTTCTCACATTGCCATAACGGACAAGAAAATTTCATAAAAGGAGCAAAACTCAAGCTGACAACCTAGAATAATTTTCATAACAACTTCATGATATTCAAGCATCAGGAAGGAAGCGGTAATGTCTTTTTCAATTTTGTATTACCTTAGTTACCTCCTTGTACACAGTCAACAAGTATTTCCTTGTACTCCCAAGTGGCCAAATTAATTAATTTCCAATACAAATGCTGTGCCAAAGAAAAAAGGGGTTTATGTTATACTTACCAGGAAAAGTACTATCTTCTGGATTAATTGAAGCACTAATGCTTCTTTTCAGGAGGTGATAAATATTTGCTGCTGTGAAGTCTGAAAAAGAAAAGACAGACTAACTGAAAGGGCTGAAGAGTTACATAATCTGCCCTGTTCGGAGACTTTCAAGATCAGTATGTTGTACATATATAGCTACACGCTGCTCAAGACCTGTTAAGTTTTGATATAGTAAATCTAAAGCAAGGAGAGAAAACAGGAAAGGTTCCCGATTTGTACATGCCAGTCAGTTAGCACAAATCCAAAATTCCCCCAAAAGAATAATTTTAAAGAGAAGGGAAGCTCTGTCATAATACCTTGTACACAACCACTTACATTTCCTTCTCAAAAGCCTGTACCATCAAAACAAACGAAAAATAAAATGCAATATTGTCTAAACAGGAGCATCAAAAAGCAGTGTAATCGCAGTTATTATAAAATCATTTAAAATTTATTATTTGTTTTTATAACTTAGTTTATATGAGGAATGTCTGCTCACATTACAGTGTAACCTCTAGGACAAAAAGATCTTTGTCCATCTTGTTCCTTTGTGTATGAGCCTCATGTTAAACACAAGAGCAGAAATACTTAACGAATGTAAACGTTTCCAAACAGCAGAAAATTCCATTACTAAGGCACAGGGAATTTATTGTTAAATATTTATTGTACCAAAAACTTCTGAATGCTAGAATCTTGCATCCACAAATTTGTCCCTGTTTTTCCAGGAAGATGATATTTTTCAGTCCTCATTAAATCTATCCCAGATAGAGGCACAGCATCGTGGGACAATTATTAATAGATTAAGGTCCCTCCCCAGCAGAACTTGATAACAAACTTCTCTCCCTCCCTTCAAGCCGTTCCCGCCCTTTCTCAGCCCGGCGCTTACCCGGCTGCTTATCAATACCCTCAACCGACGACATCTCTGGCCCTTGCTCCGCTTCTTCACTGGCCACCGATGGGAATCTTCCTTCCCCCCAGATCTCCAGTAGCAGGTACCGATCCATCCTCTTCAGAGATCACTCCCAGTTTTAGGTCTCCCCTTCCACATCCAAACAGCCGCGCGCTATGACGCACTTCCGGTTCCCTTCACCTAGGTCGGCTGGAAATTGTGTCCTCCATCGGTTTTCCTCAGTTTTCCAGCAATTGGGTTATTTTATGGAACTATTTCCTCAATTATTGCATTATTTCTTTTTTTTCATAACGAAACTGCTACCATAGGAAGATTCGTGGGGACCTAGGAAAGGAAGATAAACAGAAGGAGTGCTGGACGGGCTCGGAACTGTTATGCGTGGGTCTATGCGTTTCCCGCCGGGCCAGTAATGCTGCGTGACCCGGTTTAGCTACTGGAAAAAGGACGGACTTGCTGTGGTGAAGTATGTCAAGTTTCTCCAGGGCTCACCAGGTGAGCTTGATGTGGTTCATAATAATAGCAGAAGGAGAGAGATGGTTTGAGGGAATTTAGTAGGGAAGCTGAGACTCAGCCAGGAAGTGCCTTGGGAAGGCACCGACAAGAAGGTCGTCAGTCTGGTAACCACTTGCTTTTGTTCTTTTGATACTCGTCTCCTCCTTTAAGCCAGCCCTTTTCATGTCTTTTTCCGGGAAAGGTTATTAGGAGAGAATGTCAGAGAGGAAATAAGGTGGATCACGTAGGACATTGTAGACCATTTGTTAAGAATTTGGTTTTACTTAGTAAACGGGATACCTGTTGGAGGGTTTTGATCCTAGGAGTAATACGATGTGACAGAGGTGTTAAAAGGAGCTCTCTGGCTACTGGGTTGAAAACAAACTGTTCAGAGATGAGGGTTGATGAAGGACAAAGGCAAAGAATACGTTTGGAGGGTGTTACAGTAATTCAGGTTAGACGTGACGGTGCACAAGGCAGGCTAGTAACACTGTGAAGTGTTGAAGAGGGGTCAGGTTTTGTTTGAAGATGGCGCCGGTAGGATTTCCTGAAGGATTGAATGTGGGCTGATAACAAAAGAGGAAACAAGGATTATTCCAAGATTTTTTGGTTTGAATAACTGGAAGGCTGAGGTTGAAGCAGGTTTCAAGTGAAACAGTAGGACTTAGTTTTGGATATGTTGGTTAAGATGACTCTTAGCCCAGTGCCGCTACAAGTATGAGTCATTCCTTGGACTGTTACCTGTCTGTGATGAGGTAAATACAGGAAGTGAAATAAAAAATTTAAAAACTTTTGTAGCAATTTGACATTGTGACAACATTTGTATTTTTTTAGCCAAAATATTTTTTTCTGTCAGATATCAAAGTATTAGTCTACAGTGGATCGGGAAAACAGGCCTTTTTTTAATGTAAAGGCTGGTTTGAGGTTTGTGATAATTAAATTTAAAATAAAACCAGCTATCCTAGTTGTATTTTTCCCAGCATTGTTTAATTTCTTGTGTATATGTGTAGAAAGCATTTGGTCAAGATTTTTCTGGGCTGGAATTTTCTTAGAATTTGAAGACACTGATGAATACTACAAAAACAGTGGTCTATTCCTGAGGCAACCTAAAGATGTGTTTCAGGCAGCTTTTTAAACTTTAAATTTATTCAATGTCATCCGTCTTTATTTTCTCAACTACATTGTTCTATTTAACTCTTCCCTGGAATTGAATTCCCGAAATTGTCTTCAGGTTCTAATTGGCCACTCAGCTTTCAATATAATGTACTACTAATCTCAAAATGTTTTTGAAACCTTCGTAAACAGCTGCTACTTTCATAAGAGTTTCTCGTTACTCCTCCAGATTCTATTCTGTGTTATACAAAAAATATAAGCTATAATGTAAAGGAATATATATCTTTGGAATATTTTTAACAAAACATGAGTCATATTGCTAATAGAAAAACAGGGAGGGAAAATCACTGTGGTAAAAATATAGAAAATATATTCATTGTGTATAGTGAGAAAAAAACTCTTTTTCAGAAATAGACATGGAAACAAAACAATTCTTTAGTCAGTTTTTTTCCAAGGTAATTGTTGACATTAACTGTAAAATACATGTGATAGTATATAATAATACATTCAATTACTGTATTTCCATTTTAATTAGAATTTTCTTCATTTTCCCCCTTCTTTTTTTTTCAAGCAATGGGCCACTTTTGCTCGAATGTGGTATCTCTTAGATGGGAAAATGCAGCCCCCAGGCAAACTTGCTGCTGTGGCATCCATAAAACTTCAAGGATTACATAAACCTGTGTACCATCAAATAAGTAAGTATTACTTTAGACCTGTCATAAACAACCGTAGTTTTTAGGCAAGAATAGAATCTGATGAAGTTTGGGACTGCATTGAAGGAACACCTCGCCCCCTTTTTTTCTTGAGGATTCCCTTCTTCCATTCTTAAAGAAAACCTACTAACATACTAAACTGAATTTGGCTTATTTGTGGGACAACCAAGTGGACCAGTTTGCCTGGGACAACCATATTTTATGCCGCTGCCCAGCAAAATTATCAGTAGCCCCTCCTTTCACTCTTAGAAATACCTTGATTTGCACCATGAATTAAATGTTCACTCTTATACATGACTTTTCACATAATCATGTGCATTTGAATAGAGAGTTTTTGGAAAGGGAAATAATCTTGTCCTCTCTTCTAAAAATCCTTTCCTCTGGGAAGATATATAGAGCTAGCTAGGTATATAAAGCTTACTTTTCCCTGTTTTGAATTAATAGATTTGCTTTTCTATGTCATTCTTCCAAAATAAAACAAAAAGGTTCTAATTCTAGAAGAGTTCTGCTTATAGATAGTTTGATTGACTTCATTTACCTTGACACTTCACTGC